TGTGTGTGTGTATGTGTGTGTGTGTGCGTGCGTGTGTGTGTGTGTGCGTGTGTGTGTGTGCGTGTGTGTGTGTGTGTTGTGTGTGTTATGTGCGTGTGTGCGCGCGGGGGGAGGGGGGTACATGTAGTCTGTAGAACCAGAGAGTTGTAAACCTTCTCTGGTAGAACACTGTACGGGAAATATAACAACCCGAACAAACAGAAATAACAGGCGACAGCACAAGCAGAACTTGCATGTTATCAGTCCAAAAGGTTGTAATCAGATTTTTAACTTTATAAAGCTTACGGTAACTGACCTACATCTTAGAGAACTATGGCGTTTATTTACTCATCGGCTATTTCGTCATAATATTATTGACTGGTAAAACGGCAAAGAGAACATTAGGGTTTTCTTAATTTAGCGAACTCTTTTTACAACGAATGAACTCATGAATGAATCATCCATTGTTTCGTTATTTATAGAACTCTCTAAGTTTGGGGTCTTTTTCGGCCTCTCTCGATATTCACTGAGGCAAAGCAAGTCACTGAAGTGAACTCAATCCAGTCCGAACAGCCCGTGGCGAAGTAACTAATGTAACTGTTATTAACGACCAGACCGTTGGCACCTGATGTCTCTCTTGTTTTCTTGCATGGATACTGCTTAATTTTCTGCCAGCATCATGAAACGTGTCGGATATTGGATGAGCGAAAAGAAAAGGAAAAAGTTGAATTTCGAGGAGCATCGTGAACTTTTCAGGTCGGTGTCGGTGTTGTTTTTGTTGTTTTTTGACAGTTCTGGAGTCCTAGTTCTGGCCTATGTCAACAATCAATGCTAATCATGGATGTATTGAAGCACAGAACGATCTTTCAAATATTTCATTGATTGACTCAAGGGCTTTTGACAAAACGGGGCACCACGGACTATAAAAAACAGCTAGATTTTAGATCTAAAATCTAGATTAGATCTATAATTTATAATCTAGATTTTCTAGATCTATTCTAGACTCTAGATCTAAATCTAGATCTAGAGACTAGATCTAGATCTAGATCTAGATCTAGAATCTAGATCTAGATCTAGATCTAATCTAGAATCTAGAATCTAGAATCAAAAGGAATATTATTAAAAAGCTATGTCATGTGCTGTGCAGTCAACCCTTCTTAGATCTAATCTAGATCAATCTAGAATCTAATCTAGAATCTAAATCTAGATCTCTACTACTCTAGATCTAGATATCTATCTAGATTTAGATCTCTAGATATTTAGACTAGATTTCAGTACTACTTATCTGGGTCCCGCTAGGGGATATTTAGTTTAGACCCCACCGACGATTACTTCTGGTTCTAAATGATTACTTTTTGATGAGTTTGCCGATATGGAGAGATAGCCTATCAAACCTAGGCTAATTGCAAAACATAAAATTATGTTCAAATTCAGGGGGGCATGCCCCCCTGAAACCCCCCACCCTATTTTTGTAGGTCAGGGTCAGGGGGGGCAAGCCTCCCTGAAACCCCCCTACTCTTGGGGCCAAAACCCGCGAATTACAATGGCGGAATGGGAACTACCGAAAAAGCGCAAAAAAACTATCATTTTTGGTATAGTATAGATCTAGATCTAGTTAATGTGTATTGTAAACTTTCAGATCTATTTTCAATTCCAGAAGATAAATAATAGAATGTGCCCATTATAGGCATGTATGCATCCTCTGTCTGAACAGACGTAACTAAGGTTTGGGAGGAATTCTGTTACTGTTAGTTCAACGACCACTACAAAATTCTTGATAAAGGGTTAGGGTACAAAAGGTTAGGGTTAGGTCCCTTCTTTTGGGTTTGTTTAATGGTTACTCATTACGGAAGTCCTTCCTCCTATGGTTTTATGGATTCTAAATTTATCGTACATGTACACATACAACATAGTCTTTTGTAGTTGCATCTTTCTTTTAAAACAGTCATCAGATCATGTCTTTTTATGAATACCGAGATAGCATCCGATCATTGTCATGTGATATTAGACTTCCCTCAACGAGTGTCTTATATTGGGGGGAAGGGGAGGTTGACCAGTGGAAAGAAGCTTGGGATAGGAAGACAGTTTCCTGGTTTTTACTTTAATAAGACAGACTGACTTTAGATTCTTAAAATTTAAAGCCATTAAATAATGAGTCACTTGGAAAAGTAAAGTAACTTAGAAAAAAATATGTCTCTGCTAACCGCGAGACATTTTAAAAGTTGTTCCTTTGGGGACTGATGGAATCTGTTGGCGGGCCTATTTTGGCCCCCAAGGAGAGATTAAATACCATTGATTAAATGCTTTCCTCTTTGAGACATAGTAATTCAACCCCTCCACATTTCCCCATCTGTTCTCTATACCCTTACACTTCATGGGCTTTGACTATCAGGATCATTGTCATAGCACTGTACTCTCCTTCCCTTGAGAGACGCATTGGTTCTACACTCTCTTCTGCCCAAATCAGACTGGTTTCGAAGTAAAAGTGTTTACTTTTAAAATATTGTTTATAAAAATATAAATAAACATTCATGAATAGAATTCCGCTTTAATTGATCCTCTTGGGGAAATTTTGTTCTTCAATGGCAAACAAGCAACATGTTATATCACTACACACTGTGCTATAATCTATTGGCACTGCTCAATACACAGTATCACATTAACATGCCATACCACTTGTGGCCAGTGTGCAATGCTCTGTTTTGAGCTAGGATTGTCAGGTCATGCTAAGGACCCAGCTGAACACCCAGCCACCACCCACCTAAACTCTGTGGGTCACTGAAGTATAATTTGAAATGCCTTAGCTCACTTCACTCTGCCACTGAAGTCCTCTTTGTGAGTGCTGGCAAAGTTTTTTCAATGGCCTTGTACACATCACACATTTTCTACAATAATGATGATAATAATAAATTTTACAATAATATAAATTTCATTTATATAGTGCATATTCCATGCTTTACAGCATCATGTACTATGTGCTTTACAACTATTTTTACCCCAATCGATCTAAAAGTACTCAGAAACATTCTGGGCTTCCTTGGAAGCATACACAGTGTTAGCAGCTGATTAAGCGCGCGGACACTAACAAACTAATGAGATCTTTTGCTGTCTATAGCCGGGTACCCATTCCTACCAAGGTGAAGTGAGGCAGGGGGGGGGGCTCTCGTGGCCTAGAAGTTAAGGTGTTCGCCTCTCATTCAAAGGTCCCGTATTCGAATCCGGGTAGTGACAGAAAATTATTTGTTTTCTCAAAATGTAAAATTGTCTCCTTTCAACCTCCTTTCAGGCTGCTCTCTAGCAATGTTCTGTCGTCTGCTTTCGTCTCCACTTTCTGCCCCCTCCTCCTTTTCCCCGTCCTCTGGGCACTTGACTCTTTCTGCAGCCTTTCTACTGCCACTCCTTGGCTCTTTCTTACTGCTGTCTTTCAGCCACACCCCTGATCTTCTATAGGAAAGATCTACACCTAGCCTTCTCGGACAAGGACGAAAAATGTCGGAGGTCCTGTGCAAGTTGCGCACGTTAAAGATCCCTTCGTGGTCTAAAATCGATAAGAGTAGGCCCTGGCTGCCACCCGGCCAAAATTCAAAATTTCCTACCAGCTGAAAATGTTTAATGTATCCGGCGTACTCATACGATCTTATAGAGCTGCGAGCACTGTAAAACACACTTACCAAAGAAAGAGTGAGGCAAATTCGTGTAAAGTGCCTTTTTCAGAAATACAATGTTGAGCCCCAGACGGGATTTGAACCCAGGACCTCATGGTTGAGAGTCTGAGAGCTTAATCACTGGGCCAGCCAAACCACTTCAATGGAAAAACTCTCACAACTTGAGTAGTGATATATGCAACGAATCATTTTGCCTGCATTAATTTGATAAATATTTTCCTTCGACTATTTGCTTGTAGTGGTTTCACTTTTAGAGATCAGTTGTGTTCATCTGTCTGAAGAGATAAAATGCAAGAGTTCATTTTGACTTTTAAATTGTTTAGAATTTGGAGGAGTTCAGAATGAAGTGGTTCCTTTCTTTCAAAATAGAAATATTGCTGGCTTTTTATGAGACTCGTCAAGTGAAGTAGTAAGCATATAAGTTTGATTTCATATATGAGGTATGGGTGGGAGTCAGCATAGAACAGATTGGACAGTACAAAAAGGCAATCTGGCTTTTATCTTATGTTGTCTGTGTGTGAAATGTGAGGCAGCGTGGTGGAATCAGGCTCTGATCAAAATAATCAAAATGAAGAAACTTGAATTTTTCCGCAAGTTTGTGAATTTTTATTAAATTTTTGTTTTTTGGCTCAACACCTTTCATGCCCATTAGAGAACTCATTTCTGTGTTGATTTTTCTGAAAAACTTTGATTAAAGACACAGAAAATGTAGATTTTCAGTTACCACGGACTCTTAAGCTAAGGAAATAACGAACCTTTAGCGGCCATTTTCTCACCAATTGTACCTCTGAAAACAGGTGACCCCCACCTCCTTCTTTCGTAAATATCTTGACTTGTATTCAAGATAAATGGATACTTTTTTCATCCAAATAAAGACAAGTAAACAAACTTTAAGATGATACCAATAACTCTATATGCCCAAAAATTGACGAGAGCCTGAATCCACCACGCTGCCTCACAAATATTATTAAACACTTGTGTTTGGGGGAGATTTGACGGCTACCTCTTGTTTTTATGAAAAATGCTGACTTCTGTTGAGTTTTGCCTGACGTTTCTACTCTATTTTATCCACTTTTCAGAAATGCTGGCGTTGAACTTGTTCAGGTAAGTCTTTTCTTGTTATTCCGGGATCATGTTTTTTCCTTGCTCTGTGTTCATGTTCTGAAAAGCTCTTGCAAGCTGACATGATTGAGTTGTCAATGTTTATCAGCAATGCCCTGCTCATGAGGTTGGAAGTTTTTTTTCGGCTGGTCTTACTTTAAACAAAAGATTCTGCTATTGTTTCGGATGTCCATCTTATTTCTTGGTATTTTTTCTTTCTGTCTGTCACTGTTATTTATTTACTATTCTTCTACTGTTTCTGTCTGTTTTTCTGTGTCCCTAGCTCCAAACCCACTTTGTCACTCAAACAGGAACGCCATAAAAAATTGTTTCTGGATGCTTCTCTTTCATTCCTGTAAAAAAATCCGTTAGCAATAAATTCCACTCAGTCAATTGTTGTTGTTGGCGTAAAGAGAACTTCGACACTACGGTTATTTAATGCGAGAAAAAGCAGACCACATATACAAACACAGCAGAAGGAGAGGAAATGAGGAGGATCTACCTACCACCAGTGGCGCCCTCTAATCACCTGCCCCTTCAATCGAGAGATTGGCGTGGATTGTACTTCGTGATTTATAAGCTGTGATGAAAGAGGTGCGAAATGCCCGGTAGGCTCACAGTGTGTAAATTTGTAATTTATCGCTCTCAAACTTCCTTTTGACATCGAAACTTTTGCATTAAGGTGGGATTAGCGTATGTAACCATTCCGTTCCTGATTTTTAAAGAATCCATAACTATAGCAGCCGACCATTTTTGAAGTACTTTGCTTTTAAAGTGATACAATACTTTTGTTATAACATCTACTTGAACATTCGTTTGTTCCTCTCGATCTGTGATTGCCGTAGTTCTCAAAATTACAGGTGACTGTCTGAACATTATTCAATATTTTTAGCCACACAGTTGTGACGTTGATGGATTATAAAGTACGAACGTGTATGTTGAATTGTCAGGTTGTGTTTATAAATACGGTACATGTAATGTTTTGCACGTTCAAGACAGTGTCAAGATCGATGATAGGGAATCTTAGACCTTTTTGTGAGACTCAGAGTCTTATCTATCTTAGTAGGTCTGTCTTACAGGGACCTACTTTCCTACAGTGATCCTTTTCGCCTCGCCCGTAAAGAACAACAGCCCGTGTTATAGCTATACTGATTAATAAATCGAAAAAAACACACACCATTTTAAGTGGATAATTTGACGATGTCGTAAGAGAGCAGGCAACATCACGGCGAACTGTCAAGTTCTCAAACAATTGTCCCGTTGGATGCTAGCCAAGAACTAAGGATACCTCTCTTGAAATTATGCTTCTTTGGAGGGTCCCCCCCCCCCCCCTTGGTTTATTTGTCTGATCGTGGAATGGTTGATTGGCGGGTCCTCAATCAAATCAATCAAAGAAGCATGTAGTATGATGATATCGATTTTTTTTTTTGTCGAGTCAAACGTTGTGTGGGCTCTCAAGCATTGGAAAAAAATAACTCTTGAGTTAATGTTGTGCTCCATGAAAGAGTTGGTGCGCAGTTGGGACTGTTTGACTTCGTGTTGCATTGCTCTGCGAGTGACCCCGGTTTGAGCCGTTCTTGAACTAGGGTTTAGGCTACCGGGGAAGTTTTCCCGTCTCTCCCTCTTGGTTATGTCTTCGAAAATCCATGTTGAGATAGGTTTTAGAGTGTGTCCGCGGGTTGTTGGAAGGCGCCACTGGTTGGTAGTCTTACTTCTTTACTTTCCCTATGTCGTTTCTGTCTGTCTTACTTTTCCCCAGCACTAAATGGCCATTATTGCATCGATGGGCTTCCGTTTACTACTACTACATGAGTATACCCATGTATCAAGGGTATCAAGTCCTGACCCTAGTGTGACTTCTGTCGCTGGAACGAACTTAGACCTGTCCGGTTTGAACCAGTGGGCTGATTAAGGTCCGGCCTGTCTGTTGTGGAGAAAGGTCAAGGTAGCTTTTTCTCCTTTGTTTCCACCAGTGGACAGAGAGCAGTTACGAAATACAGTGTGGACGCAGGTGAATGTCTGCACTTTTTTACGGGCCGTGTTTGGTTCTGCCTGGTCTCCCCTGGCGCCGCTTATTATGTCATCAGTGAGAACTCATTTTGGCAACTTTAGCTGAAATACTTTCCTTTGTTATCGTCGCCTCACTGCCTCACCGTGACCACGTCCGACTCCTGGTTTTCTGTTGGAATAGTTCTCTCTCTCTCTTTCTCTCTCTCTCTCTCTCTCTCTCTCTCTCTCTCTCTCTCTCTCTCTCTCTCTCTCTCTCTCTCTCTCTCGTACTACCGTGTTGTCGTCGACCTACCTAGTGCATTCCCTGCGAAATGTCTCTAAAAAGTTTTAATAAGAGTTGTACGGCCCTTACAACACAATGGCGTCATATAAGTGCCGAAGATTATAGCTGTTACAAGAGAGTAACTCAAAAAAGGAGGAAGGGAGATCAGAACGATAGATGTTTGATTGGGCAAAAGGAACAAACCACTCCAGACTCCAGAGCAGCCGCCAACCACTGGCTCGAAATATCTGCCTTCGAAATTACTTATTTCTTTCTAGTTTAGCCATGTACTCGGCCCCCTCCCTTTTATTTTCATTTGTGATCTACACACGTACTACTGGAGAGTTCATTGGCTGGGCCTACCAGTTAAAACTTCGAGAGAGAATATCTAGCCTTTTGTATTCTAACCGTGGACAGTACTTCATATTATATATTTTTTTCTAAGCTGGGGTCAGATTGGCGGTTGGTTGGAGGGAGCCGCTTGTAGGTCCTCGCTACTTATTTACTTTCCCTCTGTTGATTCTGTTTGTCGGTCAGTCTTACTTTTTCTCAGCACTAAATGACCATTATTGTGTCGCTTTTCTTTACTCAAACAAACAAACTAAAATCCTCTTTCGACGAATGAATGTGGGTGGTTGGTAGGTGTGTTCTGGTGTGGTTACTTTTTCTTTGTTGTCAAACATCCATCATCCTTCTCTCTCTTCCTTCTTTTTTTGTGCTTGTTCGTTACTTTCCTTGTAACGCCTCAAATCTTCGGCACTTATATATATATACAGTCAAACCTGTGAAAGACGGCCACCCATTGTCAAGGAGGAAAGTAGCCGTAT